CGATTTTTTTTTTTAAATTCCACACTTTGTTCAAGCATGTTGCAAACTCATTAGTGCACCAATTGTTCTTGAGGGCCAGACTCAATAAAATCTCAGGCTGAGGATTTACTTGGCTGTGCTTATGTGGGACAAAACAGAGAATTTTTATAGAATCTAGCCCCAAGTAAAAGCATTGATACATTAGACTGTAGGGTTTTGTTTCTAAGAACTTACTATGAAATCCTTTTAAAATAATGTTAAGATCCTAATCAGCAAAATATTAAGCATGTATCAGTTTTAAATTAGTGGAACTGCTTGTGCTTTAAAGTTAGCCATGCGTGTATAAATGGCCTGTTGAATTGAGGCCTGTCTTGTTCTGTCTGGAGAAACCTACTTTTAGCTGCAGTAGATCAAATTTCTGCTTAAAAGTGAACTTGTCAACAAAAGGAAGAAAATACAAATACCAACACACTATTGCATGGTTTGTGCAGCTGATAATGGTCTTGGTACACTGTCTTCTGAGTTCACATTCATCACAACTAATATTAAATGTTCAATGTGAGTCTCTTAAACCAAAACCCAACCCAATAAAAAAGCTCCACCCTGTAGCCCGTGCACTCGAATGTGTTGCTACCTACTGAAGTCTCTTAGGGTAGTGGGTTTCAAAATTCAGTTTTCTCTTTTTGGCCTTGTAATAATTTTGATTTCTCTAATTTTCAGTATGCTTCTGCTGAACTTTGAGAACTTCGAGCCATACTTACTTCCTGGTTTCTTTTTTTTTTTTATTTGGCAGTTGTTTGTCCTGGTTTTTTTTTTTTTTTTATTTGGCAGTTGTGTGTGACATAGGAAAATCTCTTTTTTTTTTTTTTTTGAACTGATGGGTCATTTGGGCTGATCTGTTCTTATTAAAGAGTGAAATGTGTAAATAGCTGGAATGCAGTTTTTCAGGAGATTCTTTAAGAGAAGGGGGAGGGAAGGAAGTGATTCTCTTGTGTCCCAAAGTCCATGTCAGAGAGAGTAAATATTTCCTCTGGTGTGAAAAATATTTTTATAACTGGTTGAAAGTGCAGGTAACAAGTTTATCAGGAAAGAGTTAAGGAATACTAAAATTAGCAGATTCTTGTCTGAGTTTTTAATGTCTAAAACTGTTGATTGCAGCTAGTTGCTTTGAGCATTGACAAGAGCCACTTTTTGCCTATGAAGTTGTCTCAAAATTTACGTTGATGAAAAAAAGAAAAAAAAAAAAGAAAAAAGGAAAAAAGAAAAAAATCTTTAATCCAAGTAGCATTAGGTATTGCTGTATGATCAGTCGTATGGTTATTTGAAAGGTTCACATTATGTGGCATCAAAATCGTTTTTAGTGTTTTTACAGCATCCCTCTGCCACTAAATAGTTGACTTGAATTTTGAAAACAAATGTTTGTGTTTATATGTATATGTGTGTGTATATATGTATTTATAGATCTGTGTGTGTGAGTTAAAAGTGAGTTAAATAGTTTTTCCCATGCATGTGTATTTCATACATATCTGGCTGATATATATATTTCACCATACACCAATTTTATAATTTATTAAATGTCAGTTAAAAAAATAAATAAAAGGATAGAAAATGGGAAATATTTTTTAAGCTCAGTCTGATTTTGAAGTGATTAAACCTACATTAGGAATATATCTCATACATTTTAGTCATGAATACTAACCTGGTAACTTCAGAGCATATGCTTTGCTGTAATACCGTTTGTAAATCTGGAGTATGACTGCTATCAGTGTAACTGGGAGCGTGCGTGGCCCCAGCTTCTGAAACACCCGAGAGAAATTCGGGAGAGCTTGTGGCTGTTTTACCGACGATTGTGGCAACGTTTCCATGGACTGTGTTGTTAAAGATGGCCTGAAGAGCAGCTTATGTCACTTTTGACAATGGTATTAAAATCTTGTTAATTCACATAGAAGATTAAAGGTGGCGAGTGTGTGGTAACACAGAACCTGGCATCTCTGTGCCCCTCTTAGCTTTAGGAAAGCGAGGTCAGCTGAGGACGCCTTCCGTTTCCTCACAAGTCACCCTGAAGGGAGGGAAGGCCGTTGAATTCACCGTTGTCGTTTTTTAACCTCATCGCTCTGCAAAGAAGGGACAGAAATGTTCTCAAGTCCTCCTTTGTGGTATCGATCCCATATGCTTTGTGAGTATTCCTGTTTCATGCTAGGGTGTTCTTTATCGTTGATAATTCTCTGTGCCTCTGACCACAGTTAACATTGCTTGCTAGAAGTCTCAGTCTGAGTTCTCGACAAGTTCCCTGCAAGTGTCACTCCAGAGCCCCGTCCCCACCAGTCCGCGTGCTGTGGAAGGCGCAGTAGAGCAGCCCGGGGTGGCCTGGCCCGCGGTACAGCTCCGGGCGCTGCGGGTGTCTGCGAGCCGCAGACCGGTGGTCTTCTGTCCTCGGATCCTTCCGCTGGAGGAGAGGGCTGCGCGCACGTGTGCCTGCGTTACGTGTAGTGCTCTGCGTGTGTACCCACGGGTGCCGGTACGTAGCTGCTGTTTGAGTAGCAGGGTGGAAGCGGCTTTGTGTCGCTCCTGAGGGCATTGCCGATGCATCCTTTGGAAGACCAGAAACTGTGCTAAGCTGCAAGCTGTGCCATGCCTTAAAACCTTTGCAGCGCTTCCGTAATGATAGGCGTGACAGCAGCTCCGGGCTTGCCCCTTCCTCCCCGCGGCCAGGATTCCGTAAGCCTCCCGAGGACGGGATGGCCTGTAGAGTTTCACTGGACGCTTGGACCTGCCTCCCAACGCAGAGCTGAGGACTGTGAGGAGAACGTTTTGGAAACTAATTCTTCGTTGCAGTTTAACATTTCAGGGTTTCAAGCACGTTTTAAATAGAAAGGATTTTGTTTTGTCAGTGTAACTCTTTTTCTTTCTTTCTTTTTTTTTTATTTTTTTTAACAGAGCTTAGATTTCTAACAAGGGAAAATTGCTGGTGGTCCCCGAAAGTGCTGCTGTTAATTGTTTTAATTAACAAAGGGAAAAATGTATATAAGCAGAATATTAAAAAGACCATTAATTCCATGAATTTAAATCTGTCATTCATTGCCTTAAAACTTTCTCTTAGTTTCCGTACGGCATGCCAAACCAGTAAATGGCTTTTAAAAATGTATAGTAGACCAATGTCAGTTTGTATAAAAGTACCAAGTGAAAATATTTATTATATGCATTGCAAAAAAAAAATGGTTTACCTATTGAATGTTACCTGTTTATGTAGAAATCTTTAGATGTAATAAAAAGCATTCAGTTACGTTGTGTTTCCTCGGGAGAAAAGAATGGGGGGGGAGGAGGGTGTTTTCTGTGACCTGAGAGTTGCCAAGGTCTCTGCTGAGCAGGAGCACTTTGCTTCTGAAGGTTTTGTGGCACCCAGCATCTCTCCTTGTCGCTCCGGGCTCGGACAGTGCGGCTTTGTTTCGTGAGGGTGTGTGGATGCGCTTCCTTTTTGCTAGCTCTGATTTGGGCGATGTTTACCCACCCGGAGAGGGTAGGAACCGCCCGTCACACACAGACGCGTTCTGGAGGAAGCCAAAGTGATTATGAGCTGATCAATCCCCGTGACATCCAACTTTTGTGTTGTCTGCAGCTGACAGGATTTGTTAATCAACCGTGCTGGTCGATAGGGGAGAATTAAGCTGTGCATTGGATCATTTGTAATTTGGCTGTTGATGCATATTGGAAACAAACGCTTCGAAATGAACTCCTTGTTTCATAAGCTCAGCACTCCCAGGCTCAAAGCAGCCGAGGTTTTTGCTCGCCGTCATCGCTTGCGCTTCTGTGGCAGAGGTCTGGGGCAGCTCCTGGGGGCAGAAGCCGAGCTCCGCGCCGCGGGCAGCCCTCCCAGCGGCACCCGGCCAGGCGGGTGGGTGCTTGTGCAGACGATAGCTGCGCCGTGCGAGGAGAGGTACGAGGGGAGCGCTGCCTCTTGCTGCTGTGTGGAACCTGCTCTTGGGTTCTGCAGGGAATCCTACCTCTGTTTCATGTATAATGTTTTTCTGGAGTGTTATCTGAGCGTTGAGCTGCTTGTAACTCTAATTTTCAGAGAAACAAGGGGGGTTTTGTTTTGTTTTCTATCTATAGGTAAGGAAGAGCTAATATAAGAACAGAGGGGTGTGGTAGGCAGGCATGACAAGCTATAGAATCACAGAATCCCAGCATGGTAGGGGCTGGAAGGGCCCTCTGTGGGTCACCCAGCCCAACCCCCTGCCCAAGCAGGGTCACCCAGAGCAGGCTGCACAGCACCGCGGCCAGGCGGGGCTGGAATATCTCCAGAGAAGGAGACTCCACAGCCTCCCTGGGCAGCCTGGGCCAGGGCTCCGTCACCCTCAGAGGGAAGAAGTTCTTCCTCAGGTTCAGCTGGAGCTTCCTCTGCTTCAGTTTGTGCCCATTGCCCCTTGTCCTGTCGCTGGGCACCACTAAACAGAGTCTGGCCCCGTCCTCCTGCCCCGCGAGTGGGGCTGCGAACGTGATGGGAGCATCTGGTCGGGACTTATCTCGCTGGATCATGCCCTGGATCCAGGGAATACAGGGGAGCTGCGTGTAGGTATGCAAAATCTACGACCGTCGTGACATAACTGAGCTTCCCGGGGAATCTGTTTTTACACAAAGGACGGTGTCTGGGGGCGGGTGTGTGGAAACAGCACACGGTTGCGGGTGTTGCTGGCTGCTTGGAACGCAGTCACCGTGAGGCCTTAACTACGAGCTGCTGTTTGTGCCACAGGCTGTAGACTTACACACATGTTTAAAATGAGTTGGATTTTTAAAGCATGACGCATGTTACGCTAGGGAATGCTGCATTCGGTTTATTTAAATAACAGCTCACGTTTTGCGGCGATGTTTCTCCAGAAACGGAGCGGGAACCTGTGGAAGTGCTATCATCGAGGCGAAGTAAGGATGTTTAAAGGCAGATGGTGATTCCTGAGTCCAAGTAGTAACGAGGAAAGTCAAAAAAGTTTCAGGTCTTGGTCTTACCAAATCTCTTGGTTTCAATTTCAGTAGTCGACTGCAGGAAGACAGACGATGCGGACGAATTCTTCATATTTTATTGTTCCGTTTGGGCCAACTTTGGCTTCTTTTAGCAGGTCATCAACTGAAAGGAGTGAAAGAAAAATACAAGTGTGAGTAGCGTATATTAGGGATGTTACGATCTGCAGAAGAGCAGCAATGCAGGACCTGGGTTTTAAAATCATTTTTGTTAGAGTAGCTTCTGAGAGAAGTTGGAGGTGCCGTCCAAATTGTAGTTTTAAAATACCATCGGTTCGCTCTTTAATTTTGATTTCTGTGTCTGACTTTCTGGAGCAGAGATGTCCACCTCTTTGAGTTCCACAGGACAAAGATTTACAAATTTAACCCAGATCAGCTTGGAATTGCCCTTGGTAGGAGTGGCTGACTTGGCTAAAGCAGCAAACCTGTCCCTGTTCGGTTCAGAGCGAGCGGAGCGCTCGTGCAGACTACGCGCCCGACTTCCAGGAGATCTGTGTGCTGCCTAATGCCCGCGGGCCGATAGTGTTGGAATCGAAGACCACCTCCAGCTGGGGCGGGAGGGCTCTCATGGAAGACGCCGGTGAAGAGGCGGTGACCGCGCGGTTGGCCCCTGGCAGGAGCGATGCCTTTCCCTCCAGCTGCGGCAACACCTCGGTGGTGGCAGCGGTTACGAGCTTGGAGTGATCTCATCTGGACAGGCTAAAGCCTTAAAAGGTATTTTTCCCATCAAGTAATGTTACAAATTAGAAGTAAGTAAGAAATGACACATAGAAAAGTAGTGTGAAGTGTTGCTGAATGAAGCTGCCGCTGGGACTTAGCTGCTGCCTTCCTCTGGGTGACGGGCGAGGGGGCGAATTCCCATGCTTGTTTATCCCTAACATAGGGTGGGTGGGTGCTAAAATAAAGGAGAAACCCGGCAGCTGTGGGTTGGTAATGCTTTGGGAGGCCGTTCCCTTCGGTAAGGTCTCCGATGCAGTCTGGAAGGGGTCTGTGCTTGCTGGTGTGCGGGGCCGTGTGCCCAGTTCCAGGAGGCTGCAGCCGTCTTCGGGCCAGCAGCGCGTGAGCAGGGTCGGGGCTGGATGCTGAGCAGAGGGATGGGGCGGGCGGGCTGTCAGCGAGGAAGCTCTTGGGTCATGGACCTCCATTTATTGTTTGATATTTTGTTAGCAGGACACCTTTAGAGCCTGTTGGTAGACCACTGAATGAGAGGGATCATGCATGGCGCTGCTCCAGAGTCTCATAGAGTAGGGCAGCGAGGCTGGGGAGGGGGCTGCAGAACAAGAACTATGGGGAGCGGCTGGGGGAGCTGGGGGCGCTCAGGCCGGGGG